TCACCCACACACTCACCCACACTCACCCACACTCACCCACACACTCACCCCACTCACTCACCCACACTCACCCACACTCACCCACTCACTCACCACACTCACCCACACTCACCCACACACTCACCACACACTCACCACTCACTCACCCACACTCACCCACACTCACCCACACTCACCCACACTCACCCACACTCACCCACACACTCACCCACTCACTCACCCACACTCACCCACACACTCACCCACACTCACTCACCCACACTCACCCACACTCACCCACACTCACCCACACACTCACCCACACTCACTCACCCACACCACCACTCACTCACCCACACTCACCCACACTCACCAACTCACTCACCCACACTCACCCACACTCACCCACACACTCACCCACTCACTCACCCACTCACTCACCCACACTCACCCACACTCACCCTCACCCACACACTCACCCACACTCACCCACACTCACCCACCTCACCCACACTCACCCACACACTCACCCACACTCACCCACACACTCACCCACACTCACCCACACTCACCCACACCACACTCACCCACCCACCACCCACACACACTCACCCACCTCACCCACACTCACCCACACTCACCACACCTCACCCACCCTCACCCACACACCACCCACACTCACCCACACCACACTCACCCACACACTCACCCACACCACACTCACCCACTCCACACTCACCCACTCCACACTCACCCACACACTCACCCTCACCCACACACTCACCCACACACACTCACCCACTCACCCACACTCACCCACACTCACCCACCACTCACCGCACACTCACCCCACACACTCACTCACACTCACCCACCACTCACCCACACTCACCCACACACTCACCCACACACTCACCCACACTCACCCACTCACCTACACTCACCCACACTCACCCCACACTCACCCACACTCACCCACTCACCTACACTCACCCACACTCACCCACACTCACCCACACACTCACTCACACACTCATCCATTCACTTAACACGCTCACCCACACTCACCCACACTCACCCACACACTCACACACTCACCCACACACTCACTCACACACACTCACCCACACACTCACCCACTCACTCACCCACACTCACCCACACTCACTCACCCACACTCACCCACACACTCACCCACTCACCCACACACTCACCCCACACTCACCCACACACTCACAACACACTCACAACACACTCACCCACACACTCACCCACACTCACCCACACACACTCACCCACTCACTCATCCACACTCACACTCACTCACCCACACACTCACCCACACTCACTCACCCACACTCACCCACACTCACCCACTCACTCACCCACACTCACCCACACTCACCCACACACTCACCCACACTCACCCACACACTCACCCACACTCACCCACACTCACCCACACTCACCCACACTCACCCCACACTCACCCACACACTCACCCACACTCACTCACCCACACTCACCCACACTCACTCACCCACACTCACCCACACTCACCAACTCACTCACCCACACTCACCCACACTCACCTACACACTCACTCACACACTCACCCACTCACTCACCCACACTCACCCACACTCACCCACACTCACCCACACACTCACCCACACTCACGCACACTCACCCACACTCACCCACACTCACCCACTCACTCACCCACACTCACCCACTCACTCACACGCTCACCCACACTCACTCACACTCACCCACACACTCACACACTCACCCACACACTCACCCACTCACCCACACTCACCCACACTCACCCACACACTCACCCACACTCACCCACACACTCACTCACACTCACCCACACACTCACCCACACTCACCCACACACTCACCCACACTCACCCACACTCACCCACACACTCACACACTCACCCACGCACTCACCCACACACACTCACCCACTCACCCACACTCACCCACACTCACCCACACACTCACCCACACTCACCCACACACTCACTCACACTCACCCACACACTCACCCACACTCACCCACTCACCTACACTCACCCACACTCACCCACACACTCACCCACACTCACCCACTCACCTAGACTCACCCACACTCACCCACACACTCACCCACACTGACCCACACTCACTCACACACTCACACACTCACTCACACACTCACTCACACACTCACTCACACACTCACCCACTCACTTAACACGCTCACCCACACTCACCCACACTCACCCACACACTCACACACTCACCCACACACTCACTCACACACACTCACCCACACACTCACCCACTCACTCACACGCTCACCCACACTCACCCACACTCACCCACACTCACCCACACTCACCCACACTCACCCACACACTCACCCACACTCACCCACACTCACTCACCCACACTCACCCACACACTCACCCACTCACCCACACACTCACCCACACTCACCCACACACTCACAACACACTCACCCACACACTCACCCACACTCACCCACACACTCACCCACTCACTCATCCACACTCACACTCACTCACCCACACACTGACCCACACACTCACCCACACTCACTCACCCACACACACCCACACTCACCCACTCACTCACACGCTCACCCACACACTCACCCACACACTCACCCACTCACTCACCCACACTCACCCACACTCACCCACACTCACTCACACACTCACTCACACACTCACTCACACACTCACCCACTCACTTAACACGCTCACCCACACTCACCCACACTCACCCACACACTCACACACTCACCCACACACTCACTCACACACACTCACCCACACACTCACCCACTCACTCACACGCTCACCCACACTCACCCACACTCACCCACACACTCACCCACACTCACCCACACACTCACTCACACTCACCCACACACTCACCCACACTCACCCACACACTCACCCACACTCACCCACTCACCTACACTCACCCACACTCACCCACACTCACCCACACTCACCCACATACTCACCCACTCACTCACACACTCACTCACACACTCACCCACACACACCCACACTCACCCACACTCACCCACACACTAACCCACACTCACCCACACACTCACCCACACTCACCCACACTCGCCCACACTCACCCACACACTCACCCACACACTGACACACTCACCCACACATCCACACGCTGACCCACACACACACACACTCACCCCCACTCACCCACACTCACCCATACTCACCCACACACTCACCCACACTCACCCACACACTCACACACACACTTACCCACACACTCACCCACACACTGACACACTCACCCGCACACTCACCCACTCACCCACACACTGACCCAAACACTCATTCAAACACTCATTCAAACGCTCACCCAAACGCTCACCCACACGCTCACCCACACTCACCCACACACTCACCCACTCACTCACCCACACACTCATCCACACACTCACCCACTCTCACCCACACTCACCCACACACTCACCCACACACTCACCCACACTCACCGACACACTCACCCACACACTCACCCACACTCACCCACACTCACCGACACACTCACCGACACACTCACCCACACACTCACCCACACACTCACTCACACACTCACTGATCCACACTCTCAAACTCACCACTCACCACTCTCTCCTCTCCCCAGGTGATCATCCTGAACCACCCGGGGCAGATCTCTGCGGGATACGCCCCGGTCGTGGACTGCCACACGGCGCACATCGCGTGCAAGTTCTCAGAGCTGCGCGAGAAGATCGACCGCCGCTCCGGCAAGAAGCTGGAGGAGCTCCCCAAGAGCCTCAAGAGCGGCGACGCCGCCATCATCGTCATGGTGCCCGGCAAGCCCATGTGCGTGGAGAGCTTCGCCAAGTACCCTCCACTCGGTGAGACAGGGTGACACACACACACAGTGACACACACAGTGACACACACACAGTGACACACACACACAGTGACACACACACACAGTGACACACACACAAACACAGTGACACACACACACAGTGACACACACAGTGACACACACACACACAGTGACACACACACACACAGTGACACACACAGTGACACACACACAGTGACACACACACACAGTGACACACACAGTGACACACACACACAGTGACACACACACACACAGTGACACACACACACACAGTGACACACACAGTGACACACACACACAGTGACACACACACACAGTGACACACACAGTGACACACACACACAGTGACACACACAGTGACACACACACACACAGTGACACACACACAGTGACACACACACAGTGACACAACAACAACAACAACCGTCATTCGCCACTAAGTGGCGGTGACGTCACCACGACGCTTGTGCCAGGCCATGTGCACCTTGAGGCCACGTGAAGTGTCGAACGCCCGCTGGCAGGAGGTCACGGGGCAGACCCAGGTGCCACGGGTCGACTGACCGAGATGACCGAGATGACTGGCTGATGCACCACCTGTGCCCCCTATTGTACCAACTTGCTGTGCTTTAGCCACCCGGCGCTCCCCTCGTTGTTGTGAGCGTCGCTCCTCCGCCCTCCGTTGTTGTTGGAGGGCGACTGCCTCCAACTGCCCAGCAGCGTCCTTCACGAGCCTCCTCCACTGAGGCCGATCTTGACACCGCTGGTACCAGTCATCGGCAAGTCCACTTAGCTCCACGTCCTCCTGTACCACATCACTCCATCTCTTCTCTAGCCCGTTTAGCCCCCTCGATCCGGCCGAACAGAAGCTGTTTAGGCATGCGGTGGCTGGGCATGCGGGCTACATGACCCAGCCAACGCAGCCTTGCCTGCCGGAGGAGCTCACTGATGGGACTTAGCCCAGATCTTTCAAGGAATTGTGAGCTCCTCACGCAATCCAGCCTGGTTAAACCCAGGATGGATCGTAGGCAGGCCAGCCTAAATGTTTCCAACCGGCGAAGATGCTCCACTAGGGGGGTCCACGTTTCGCAAGCGTAGAGAAGGGAGGGAATGACCGTGGCCGAGAAGACCTGAAGCTTCGTGCGGAGCGACAGACCAGGTAGCTTCCACACAGCGTTACGCAACCGATGAAAAGATATTGCCGCTCGACTGATTCGGAGTGAGACCTCTGCTGATAAACTGGAGCCGGTCATAAGCACACTGCCCAGGTATGGGAAACTCTCCACTCTCTCCACAACTGCCCCATCACCAATTGGGAGTTGTGGGGGTGGAGTGTCCAATGGTACAAAATACCCAGGCAGGTGCTTAGTTTTGGTGGGGCTGATGGTAAGGCCCCACCTCTTAGTGGCACGCTCCAGTCTCAGCAGCAGCGTCTCCAACTCCTCTTCTTAATGAGCAGCTATTACCAAATCATCGGCATACATAACGTGTTTGACCGATAGGGAGCCATCCCTTGATCGCACCCGGGCGTCGATCAGCCTCCCATTATATCTGTACGAAATGGAAATTCCCCCGGTACAGCTATTGAAGGCTTCACGAACTACGCAGTCGAAATAGATGTTAAATAATGTGGGAGCCAGAGGACATCCCTGTCGCACCCCAAGGTGTACAGGGAAAGGCTCCGACTCCCGGCCACGTAGTTTTACCCGGGCCCGCTCACCATCATGAAGGTCCTTAATGATCGTGAGCAGAGGGTCAGGGACTCCGAAAGCACGAAGAACAACCCAGAGCCCAGTCCTACTGATGGTATCATAGGCCTTGACCAGGTCAATAAAGCAGAGATGTAGGTCTTTTTGGAATTCCCTACACCTCTGCTGTAGCAGACGGACAGAAAATATGGCATCTGTGCAGGACCGCCCTTTCCTGAAACCGCATTGGGGCTCCGCAAGCCTCTCCTCAGCGTGCCTAGCAAGGCGATGTTGAATAATCCTTGCCAGGACCTTACCCGGCACACTGAGGACCACCAGGGCATCCTTCCAATCCTGCGGAACCCGTCCAGTGGACCAGACTGTTGTTACGATGTCACATAGGGCAGTCTGTGCAAAAAAGCCACCCTCCCTCAGCATTTCGCTTGGGAGATCATCTCTGCCCGGTGCCTTTCCTGGTCTCAGACTCCGGATCGCCTTCAGTACTTTCTCAACAGATGGCACCTCAGCCAGCCACTCACAAGGGGTGACCTCTTCCAATATTTGAGGCACCGCAGCCTCAGCAGGGTTATCCCCACTTTGTGCCATGATGTTTTCCTGGCTGAGAGATTTCCCCTCCCCCAGGACCACACAGAAATGCTCAGAAAATCTGCAAACCTGTTCCTGAGGGTCGGAGATTGGATTACCCGTTTTTCCCCTAATGATGGTAATAGGTGTGGCGCTGCAGGCTACTTTTTTGATGGAGTTAAATAGTGATTTGTGATCGCGGGCCACTGAGGCAGATTCCATCTCCTCAGCAACCCGCGACCACCACCCATCCTTGCAGCGCCTCACGGCTCTCCGAACCTCCGAGCGAAGGCTGCGGTAAACCTCCTCATTCTCTGACTTGGGATGCTGTAGCCGATGAGAGTGGGCCTGTCGCTTTTTCTCAACTAACCTGAACACCTCCTGTCAGCCAGGATTTCTGGGGAGGTCTGGACCGCGTACCCAAAGCAGCCATTGCAACTGCATGAGTCACAGTCCTAAACCTCGCCCATTTACCATCGACATCAGGAGGAGTGGGGGACGATGCCAACCCCAGCTGCAAGTGATGATGAAATTCTCACCTGCAACTTTCATCAGCTAACTGAGACCAGGCCACTTTTGGTTGGAATGGGGTCCTGGGTGTACACCCACCACCGGAGTGGAAGAATGGCAGGTGCATCTTACAGATGACTAGTCGATGGTCAGAGGGCAGATCAGCTCCACGGTAGGTCCTGTAGTCAAGGACATTGGCTCGCATCCGCTGGTCCGTCACTATGTAGTCCAGCAGATGTTCTTGCTTGGACCCGGCATGCATCCATGATGTTGTGTGGATGCGCACACACACACACAGTGACACACACACACCGTGACACACACACACACACACAGTGACACACACACACCGTGACACACACACCGTGACACACACACACCGTGACACACACACCGCACACTCTCACATGAAGATGACGATGATGCTACTGATGATGACGGCCCATTGTTTATTGTTTTTATTGTTTTTTTATTGTTGTTTGTTGTTTATTGTTTGTGGTTTGTGTTGTTTGTTGTTGTCTATTGTTGTCTATTGTTGTTTATTTTTGTTCATTGTTGTGTGTTGTTGTTTCTTGTTGTTGTTGTTGTTTGTGCCAGGGCGCTTTGCGGTGCGCGACATGAGGCAGACGGTGGCCGTGGGGGTGATCAAGCAGGTGGAGAAGAAGGCCCCTTCGCAGGGCAAAGTCACCAAGTCGGCACAGAAGGTGCAGAAGGCAAAGTGAGAAGACGCTGGGGTGGTGGTGGCGGTGGTGGTGGCGGTGGTGGATGTTGTGGAGGTTGTTGTGGCGGGTGATGGCGGTGGTGGTGGTGGTGGCGAGAGTGGGATCATCAGCAACATCAGCAGCATCGCAATGGGTGCATTAACTACGCAGATGCACCATCACCTTCACCATCATCAACATCATCACCATCACGACCACCATCACCACCACCAACATCATCACCATCACGACCACCATCACCACCATCACCACCATCACCATCACCACCACCATCACTACCATCACGACCACCATCACCACCACCAACATCATCACCAACATCTTTCACCGCTGTTATTAAAGACGTTATAATGGAAAGAACGTGCGTGTGTGTGTCTTTGTACAATAATTATTTTATAGTCGTAGTAGGAGTAGTGATTACCATTAATATTCTTGGACCTTTCGGTAAAGTGACGTAGTTCGGTTCAAAGAAAATAACAAAAATAACAAACAAAAAAACGCGACGTTTCCATCACAACGCAAGCAATCGTCATCAGGAGAATGCAGAGCGGGACAGCTGCTGAGGCAGGATGTCTTCAAGTCTCGAGATGGGTGTAGCCCAAGGGTCAAAAGCTAAGTGGGCGGGGCAAGTGACGTTAAAGTGAGACATTAGCATGTCAATGTAAGATCGGAGAGATTAGCATGTCAATGTACGATCGCAGACATTAGCATGTCAATGTAAGATCGCAGACAGCATGTCAATGTAAGGTCAGAGGCATTAGCATGTCAATGTAAGATCGGGGACATTAGCATGTCAATGTAAGATCGCAGACATTAGCATGTCAATGTAATATCGCAGACATTAGCACGTCAATGTAAGGTCACAGACATTAGCATGTCAATGTAATATCGCAGACATTAGCACGTCAATGTAAGGTCACAGACATTAGCACGTCAATGTAAGATCGCAGACATTAGCATGTCAATGTAAGGTCACAGACATTAGCACGTAAATGTAAGATCGAGGACATTAGCATGTCAATGTAAGATCGCGGACATTAGCATGTCAATGTAAGATCGCGGACATTAGCATGTCAATGTAAGGTCACAGACATTAGCACGTCAATGTAAGATTGCGGACATTAGCATATCAATGTAAAATCGCAGACATTAGCATGTCAATGTAAGATCGCAGACATTAGCATGTCAATGTAAGGTCGGGGACATTAGCATATCAATGTAAGATCGCAAACATTAGCATGTCAATGTAAGATCGCAGACATTTACATGTCAATGTAAGATCACAGACAGCACATCAATGTAAGATCGCAGACATTAGCATGTCAATGTAAAATCGCAGACAGTAGCATGTCAATGTAAGGTCGGAGACATTAGCATGTCAATGTAAGATCGCAGACATTAGCATGTCAATATAAGATCGCATACATTAGCATGTCAATGTAAGATCGGGGACATTAGCATGTCAATGTAAGATCGCAGGCATTATCATGTCAATGTAAGATCGCAGACATTAGCATGTCAATGTAAGATCGCAGAGCCGAGGACACGATCGACGGTGGCTGTGTTAGTGGGAGACATTTGATAATTGTTTTTTTACTCTTTCATCTGGCAACAAAACTGACACCTTTTTTACAAGGAGTCATGTTTGCATAGACCACAATACCTGCAGTCGTAATGTAAACAAAAAATACCTGCAGTCGTAATGTAAACAAAAAACATAACTCTTGAGTTATGTTTTTTATTTGTTTGCATTACGACTGCAGGTATTGTGGTCTATGCAAACATGACTCCTTGTAAAAAAGGTGTCAGTTTTGGTGCCAGATAAAAGGGTAAAAAAAACAATTATCATATTTTTCTACTGGCAAATGAGGTTCCAATGGTGTGAGACATTTGTTGAACAAAGTTCTTGTGATTGACACCATTGCAATAATTGAAGATTTTGTCCAACAAGGACTGAATGCTGATGTACTGGCCCTGGTGAGACACTGCCTCACCAACACTTACTTCACCTGGAATGGAACTTTCTACAAACATGTTGAAGGTACCCCAATGGGGTCTCCCTTATCTCCCGATGGTAGCCAATGTTTTCATGGATAAATTTTGAGACCGATGCCATCCAGGCATCCATCCTATGTCCGTCCTTGTGGAAGAGGTATGTGGATGACACGTTCGTCATCTGGCCACATGGCCGACCAGCTCTGGACCAATTCCTCAACCACATCAGTCCCATACACCCAGCCATCAAATTCACCATGGAGGTGGAAAAGGATGGCAAGTTACCATTCCTGGATGTTTTAATCGAAAAGAGACCAGATGGCTCAATGGGACACTATCTACAGGAAAGCCACCCATACGGACGCCTATCTAAACACCTGACTCCCACCACCATCCATCCCAGAAGAATTCCCTCATCAAAACTGTACACCATAGAGCTTGATATATCTCCGACCATCACCATCTAGCCAGTGAACTGAAACACGCACACCAAGCTCTCAAGATGAATGAATATTCAGACCACACAATCCGTAAAGCTATCACCCCCAACCGTTGGGAGAGAACCATCTGAGGACCCAATCAAAACCATCACCTTGCCATACATAGCAGGGGTCACTAAAATATGTCCAAAATCATGAGCAAACACAAGATCCAGGTCCGATTCAACACAGTACATAACATTCGTGATCTGATCCCATCTGTGAAGGATGTGATCGCTGACATGCAATACCCCGGCGTCTACAAACTAAGTTGTGTCTGCGGCAGTAGTTACATTGTGGAAACTAAGCGACACGTCTCGGACCGAGTTCGTGAACACCTAGCAGATCTGAAACACGGTAGGACCAATACCTCAGCCGTGGCTGATCATTGTTTTAATGCGGTGGGCTCACACGAAATTGATTTCTCTAATACGAAGGTATTTGCAAGTCCACTGGCTATCAACAAAGATTCGTTCATGAAGCCATCCATATATACAGACACAATTTCAACCGAGAAGATGGGTACAAACTGAGCAATCTTTGGAAGGACGTTATTAACCAGTTTAAGTCATAACCGGCTGTGATGTTTCCATCCTACCTGCCGATGTTAGTATTTATTTTGGACTCTCTGTTGTTATATTAACAGGTTAAATGTCTTTACATTAACAGGTTAAATGTCTCCCACTAACACAGCCACTATCGCTCGTGCCCTCGCTGTGGCGGTAGCTCTCCGATCTTACATTGACATGCTAATCTCTCCGATCTTACGTTGACATGCTAATCTCTCCGATCTTACATTGACATGCTAATCTCTCCGATCTTACATTGACATGCTAATTTCTCCGATCTTACATTGACATGCTAATCTCTCCGATCTTACATTGACATACTAATCTCTCCGATCTTACATTGACATTCAAATGTCTCCGATCTTACATTGACATGCTAATCTCTCCGATCTTACATTGACATGCTAATCTCTCCGATCTTACATTGACATGCTAATGTCTCCGATCTTACATTGACATGCTAATCTCTACGATCTTAGATTGACATGCTAATCTCTCCGATCTTACATTGACATGCTAATTTCTCCGATCTTACATTGACATGCAAATCTCTACGATCTTAGATTGACATGCTAATCTCTCCGATCTTACATTGACATGCTAATTTCTACGATCTTAGATTGACATGCTAATCTCTCCGATCTTACATTGACATGCTAATTTCTCCGATCTTACATTGACATGCTAATCTCTACGATCTTAGATTGACATGCTAATCTCTCCGATCTTACATTGACATGCTAATTTCTCCGATCTTACATTGACATGCAAATTTCTACGATCTTAGATTGACATGCTAATCTCTCCGATCTTACATTGACATGCTAATTTCTCCGATCTTACATTGACATGCTAATCTCTACGATCTTAGATTGACATGCTAATCTCTCCGATCTTACATTGACATGCTAATTTCTACGATCTTACATTGACATGCTAATCTCTCCGATCTTACATTGACATGCTAATTTCTCCGATCTTCATTGACATGCTAATTTCTCCGATCTTACATTGACATGCTAATCTCTCCGATCTTACATTGACATGCTAATCTCTCCGATCTTACACTGACATGCTAATCTCTACGATATTACACTGACATGCTAATCTCTCCGATCTTACATTGACATGCTAATTTCTACGATCTTACATTGACATGCTAATCTCTCCGATCTTACATTGACATGCTAATTTCTCCGATCTTCATTGACATGCTAATTTCTCCGATCTTACATTGACATGCTAATCTCTCTGATCTTACATTGACATGCTAATCTCTCCGATCTTACACTGACATGCTAATCTCTACGATATTACACTGACATGCTAATCTCTCCGATATTACATTGACATGCTAATCTCTCCGATCTTACATTGACATGCTAATTTCTCCGATCTTACATTGACATGCTAATCTCTCCGATCTTACATTGACATGCTAATTTCTCCGATCTTACATTGACATGCTAATGTCTCCGATCTTACATTGACATGCTAATTTCTCCGATCTTACATTGACATGCAAATCTCTCACGTTAACATCACTAGTCCCACCCACTTCCTTTATGAGCCTTGCGCTACACCCATCTCAAACCTTTGTCACATCCTGCCTCAGCAGCTCTCCCGCTATTCTTGATCCTGATGATGATCGCTTGTTATTTTTGTTATTTTCCATGAGCCTATCTACATGAATTTACCGAAAGACCCAAGAATATGAATTCCTGCAGTCACGAAAGCTTTAAGTCACTGTTATTATTGTGTACACAGTGCCAGGCTAGGTGCATGAGGAGGTCATGGGACAGACCCTGCAGGTGCCATGGGTTGGCTGCTGTGCCAGGCTAGGTGCAGGAGGAGGTCACGGGACAGATTCTGCAGGTGCCATGGGTTGGCTGCTGTGCCAGGCTAGGTGCAGGAGGAGGAGGAGGTCACGGGACAGATTCTGCAGGTGCCATGGGTTGGCTGCTGTGCCAGGCTAGGTGCAGGAGGAGGAGGAGGTCACGGGACAGATTCTGCAGGTGCCATGGGTTGGCTGCTGTGCCAGGCTAGGTGCAGGAGGAGGTCACGGGACAGACCCTGCAGGTGCCATGGGTTGGCTGCTGTGCCAGGCTAGGTGCAGGAGGAGGAGGTCACGAGACAGACCCAGCAGGTGCCACGTGTTGACTGCTGTGCCAGGCTAGGTGCAGGAGGAGGTCACGGGACAGACCCAGCAGGTGCCATGGGTTGGCTGCTGTGCCAGGCTAGGTGCAGGAGGAGGAGGTCACGAGACAGACCCAGCAGGTGCCACGTGTTGACTGCTGTGCCAGGCTAGGTGCAGGAG